AATAATAATAATAATAATTATTATTATTATTACAATAATAATAATAATTACAATAATAATAATAATTACAATAATAATAATAAGCTAAAACCATAATCTCGATTGAAGATGATTAAGATCGTGTTGAAGCAGTTAAAGAAATTAACTCAAATAAAAAAAATATATAAAATAATTCTGCCCATATGGCATCAGAAGGAGAGGGAACCACTTCTACCGGTAAAAAAGGTGCTGCTAACACGGAATTATAGAAAAAACATAACAATAATGGTAATCCACAATAAAAGAAATCTTTGTAAGATGAAAAAATACACAAATAACCTGGATTACCTCCTTATAAAGGTAATAATTTAGATATAAACAACTAGGAATATCTTAAGATGACAATGTAGGTGATGGTGAGACTATTCTGAATGTTTAAGAATCGTAGAAATTTTAATTTATGTCTGCAGGATAGGAAATATCTAAAATGATATTTTTAAATTAATGGATGATTGGAGGTATAGGTGGATCTAAGTTTATGGTGTTCGATGTTTCATCTTAAGACTCAGAAAAACCTTAAAGGATTCACACAATTTAAATTGATGCTGAATATACAGATCTAGCTTATTTAGAGTTGGAAAATCAGAATGGATAACTTTATTTGGCAACCAAGAAAGGGAACATATATACATATATTAAAGAAGGAACTAAGAATATAACATTTAGATAATCTTCAAGCTAGATTCATATTTTAGATAAGCCTGGAGTACTGTATATTTAGGTGAGTGCAGCAGATAGATTATTATATAGTGTAGGGGAGGAGAAGATAGTTAAGGTTTGGTCTTTGAAAACTATGAGGGAGTTGAAAAGATTGAATGTTTAAGATCTCCCAACTGCTTTTCACTTAGATTAGAAGACTGCTTTCATTGGAGGAAGCAATTTCATTTAAATTTGGGAATAAACCACAGGAACTGTTAATATAATGAAAGAGTTGGAATCTAAAGTGACTAAAATATTGACAAATGAATCTAAAATGTTTGTGAGTATGTTAGTCAAAATAAAAGTTTATGAAAAAGTTGGAATGGGAGAGTATAAACTAAATCATGAATTACCTTTGAGATAGATTATTACAATGCAAGTACTAAGAACATGGCCAATGTTAGTTATTTCATATATTGATGATGTATTAATTAAATTATAATTTATTAGAAATCAATGGGAAGAGTAAGTTTATATAATTATATTGATTAATAACCTCCAGAAATGCTTATCGATAAATATGCATAATGCTGTGCAGTGAGAGAGCATAATAAAATTAATTATTTGGCATTTGGTTTGTAAACTGGAGTATGTTTAATATATAAGATGGAATAGACATTTTAATAGTCACAATGATATATGGATTAAATTATGATACATCATATTTTCTTGTCTAAGTATTCTCTATCTTCTTTGAGAAGAGTCTTTTTATACACTTCATTGATATTATGGAATTATTTGAGAATGTCTTTATTGCTTCTGATTTACTGTCTCACTTACATTTCTTGTTTGTATCTTTCTTCAAAAGACTTATGAAAAGAAATCAGAATATTTTTATATTCTTGCTTTCTCTAATCAATTAGATTGAGAATGTCTTCATTGATAGATGTTTCAAGTAGATTCTCACTCTATCCCTTAACAAATACTTTATCCATTTCAAAAATATATAAAGATGTTTTTCTATAAAGATCTTCCAAAGCCAAAGCCTTCCTATACATAAGTTTCCTTTTTTTCCTTTCGAATGCCAACAATTATAATATCTTATCTATTGTTGATTGACTTTGATCAGCCTTCTGATTGAGTTCTGTTATTTCAATTCTTGTATTTTCAAGATCTTAATCCATTTTTAATTTTCCAACATCAATTTGTTCTTGCAATTTCTCAGCCCTTTATTCAAGTGACAGAGAATTCTGTTACAATTATTTCAAATCTTTTTCTTTTTCACCAATTGTTCTCTTTTATTCTAAAATGATTTTTTCAGCTTCATCAAATACTAAAGTCAAAGTTGGAACAGTAATATTTTTGTTCTCCTTCTTTAATTCTCTATATGTATCATATTTATTCTTTTCCTTCTCATCCTTCTCATCCCAAGCATCTTTTGCCTCCATATCCAATTCATACAACACATATATACATTAATCAACAGTTCCATCATTCATTCGTCCTCCCAATAACATGATTTCACCATGGACTTCATTTTGATTACATGACATAACATAACCAAATCTAGGAGTTGGAATATAGCCACCAGCTATAGGTTTAGACCAATACCCTTCATTTAAATTTAATAGGTATAAATCATTTAATGGTTCTGAATTCTTTAACTAATTTTCATTTACATTATATCCTCCAAATAAACACAGCAAATTCTCCTTAACAACTAATAATTCCTTAAAGTATAATTTAGTTTTACATGAAATGCTCTCTAACCAGGTGATTATCCTTTTAATTCTAACTAACTTATATCATATGTCTCAATATCTAATAGAAGACAACGATCCTAACATTATTTTTATTTATTAAATCCTCCATACACAAGTAATTCTTTATCTGATACCTATATCATTGTGTGTGCTTTTATAGCTGGCATATCATCAAATGGAAGTTTTTCCCATGTGATACCTGGCAACTCCAAAGATTAAGTTTCCCATGCCACATTTTCAAACTAATTTATTTACAAATACTGCTTACAGACAATTGCCATACATCATCCATTAATAAATTTTCTGGCATACTTGCTCCACCCATTAAATATTTTTTAATTCCTTAAGTTGAGAATCCAAAATGCAATCTTCCTGGAGGACCTTCCAAATAAAAAAATCGTTTCCATATAAACTTCTCTGTATTCAATATGTACAAATCACTAACAGTTTTATTTTCATATGTGATCCCTCCATATACATATAACAATGGTGCTTCATACCATACTTATGCACTTGTTCTTCTAGTTGGAGGTTTCCCTGTACATTTCTTGATACTCCATTAATATGTAGCTGGATCCAATATGTATACATAATCTTAGCATTCTTAATTACTAAATGGACTACTCACTCTTGCCTACTTTGGAGCCCCTATTTTAAAAGATATTCCATCACTTTTTGGAGGAGATGGCTATTTCTCTATCTTTTAATTTCAATTGCATACCTTCCTATTACAAATCTTTAATATTAAATGGGTTCTTGCCTCCAAAGTATAAATACCGATTCTGATCAATCAAATATACTAAATTGACACATTCTTCTAACTTTGGTGGACGACCATGTTTCTCTAATAAATTTGAATTAATCACTTACTGTTGTCGATTTCAATTTTCTTCCAAAATAACTATTACATAAATTAATGAACTAAACCAAACACTTTCANAATTTTCCAACATCAATTTGTTCTTGCAATTTCTCAGCCCTTTATTCAAGTGACAGAGAATTCTGTTACAATTATTTCAAATCTTTTTCTTTTTCACCAATTGTTCTCTTTTATTCTAAAATGATTTTTTCAGCTTCATCAAATACTAAAGTCAAAGTTGGAACAGTAATATTTTTGTTCTCCTTCTTTAATTCTCTATATGTATCATATTTATTCTTTTCCTTCTCATCCTTCTCATCCCAAGCATCTTTTGCCTCCATATCCAATTCATACAACACATATATACATTAATCAACAGTTCCATCATTCATTCGTCCTCCCAATAACATGATTTCACCATGGACTTCATTTTGATTACATGACATAACATAACCAAATCTAGGAGTTGGAATATAGCCACCAGCTATAGGTTTAGACCAATACCCTTCATTTAAATTTAATAGGTATAAATCATTTAATGGTTCTGAATTCTTTAACTAATTTTCATTTACATTATATCCTCCAAATAAACACAGCAAATTCTCCTTAACAACTAATAATTCCTTAAAGTATAATTTAGTTTTACATGAAATGCTCTCTAACCAGGTGATTATCCTTTTAATTCTAACTAACTTATATCATATGTCTCAATATCTAATAGAAGACAACGATCCTAACATTATTTTTATTTATTAAATCCTCCATACACAAGTAATTCTTTATCTGATACCTATATCATTGTGTGTGCTTTTATAGCTGGCATATCATCAAATGGAAGTTTTTCCCATGTGATACCTGGCAACTCCAAAGATTAAGTTTCCCATGCCACATTTTCAAACTAATTTATTTACAAATACTGCTTACAGACAATTGCCATACATCATCCATTAATAAATTTTCTGGCATACTTGCTCCACCCATTAAATATTTTTTAATTCCTTAAGTTGAGAATCCAAAATGCAATCTTCCTGGAGGACCTTCCAAATAAAAAAATCGTTTCCATATAAACTTCTCTGTATTCAATATGTACAAATCACTAACAGTTTTATTTTCATATGTGATCCCTCCATATACATATAACAATGGTGCTTCATACCATACTTATGCACTTGTTCTTCTAGTTGGAGGTTTCCCTGTACATTTCTTGATACTCCATTAATATGTAGCTGGATCCAATATGTATACATAATCTTAGCATTCTTAATTACTAAATGGACTACTCACTCTTGCCTACTTTGGAGCCCCTATTTTAAAAGATATTCCATCACTTTTTGGAGGAGATGGCTATTTCTCTATCTTTTAATTTCAATTGCATACCTTCCTATTACAAATCTTTAATATTAAATGGGTTCTTGCCTCCAAAGTATAAATACCGATTCTGATCAATCAAATATACTAAATTGACACATTCTTCTAACTTTGGTGGACGACCATGTTTCTCTAATAAATTTGAATTAATCACTTACTGTTGTCGATTTCAATTTTCTTCCAAAATAACTATTACATAAATTAATGAACTAAACCAAACACTTTCAAGATTGTGAAAAAGCTATGAAAGATTGGTAATTATGGGCAGAGAACTAACAAATGTAATTCATCCTTAATCACACAATAGTCTCAATCCTGAAGAACTACCTCCCTTGCACTCCCAAGGATCAAAAAAACAAGAGTGCTTTCAAATTGTTCAAGCTTGATCATATTGTTGATGTCAAAAAACAACATCCTGAATATGGCTTCAAGGAGAAATTAGAATCACTAAAACACATGTGGCATCATCTTACAAAAGATGAAAAATTCATTTATGTTCAGAAAAGTAAACAATTGAAATTTTGAATTGATTATATTTATATATTTAATTTTATGAGTACTCGCTAAGCAAATTTTTATAAAAAAGGCTAGGAATATGGTTTAAGAACACATTAGAAAAGTGAAATAAATATTGATTGAAGGCAAACTAGATATGGATGATTCATAAATTAAACTCTCTATCCTAAAATAACCAGAAAATTCAGAGAGGATTGCTTAAATCAATAATAAGAATTAGATAACAATAACATATTTTCAAAGAAGACTAAATTCTACTTAATGCTAAGGGTAGTAGATCTTTCTAAAATTAGTAAAGCCTAATATAGAAATAAGAGTCTGTAGATAATTAATCTGATAAATAATACAGTTCTACTTCAAAACTTAAACATTTTGAAGATTATGTTCCCATCATCAAATATGATCTCAAAGAAAAACATTAAAAAATTCTGTTTTTTTTATAAAATAAAAATTTTGACTATAATTAAAAAGTGTAAAAAGAAGAATAAGATAATACAGTAAATCTATTACTCTGATAATTCAAAAAAGTATTTACATAATGGCTAGATGGTTCAATTTATAAAGGATAATGGTATATGTTGTGTAAATGGAAAATTGATTCATGCAGATGGTCATGCTTATGAGAGAGAATGGCTTGATCAAGAGGTTAATTTTTATAGCCAAAAGGGAAGAAAAATGAAGCAACCTAGGTTGAAGGTAAATAATAATGATATGGGGCATATCATTTACTTTATTAAGCACCTAAGTATCGGTTATTGACTGATTGAAAAAGAATATAATGATTAGAATGAGATTAAGTGGAATAATTAAAAATATATAAGAACTGGACTTTTGATTTCTAATTATTTAATAACTTTCCAAATTTGTCCTTCATGATTATCTCTTTTTGTTTGATTTTGAATATCATTTAAATATAATTTTATTTAAGGCAAAGCAAGTCAATATATTGTAATCAATATTGAGTTGTAGTGATGAATAAATTCTGATTTTGTAAAAAATAGATAAAATGATTTAAAAAATGCAAATTAATGATTATAATGTAATAAATTTGATTTTTACATTATTCTAAGTTAACCAGAGTCTTAAACAAGAGATATTATATATTATTTAATTAATGATTATTATGATAATAATTAAGCCTGATTTTTATTATAAATAACAAATATTAATAACGGTTTCAAAATAAAATATTTTTGCTGTTTTATTTATTGATTACTATTTATTTTTTGGGATTACAAATCAGAAAATGCAAAATATGTTATTTCACTTTATGATTAAGAATTGTAATCTAGTTTAATAAAAGATCAAACCTTAGGATGGAATAACATAAACGATTGTACACCTTGATTAATAATTATATAATGATAAATTGTAAAAGCAAATTTTTTAAATTGTTTCCTTGAACTGTTTTAATATTGATAATTTATTTATCCGGTTTTCAATTCTATTTTTAAGTTTAATTATTATTTTAAATGAATCTCATTTTATATAAGAATTTTATTTTAGAACAAAAAAAATTGAAAAAGTTGGATTCAATCAAACAGAATTATTTGTTGATTTTCTTTATTGATACAAATAACTAAAGTCAATTATAATATAAAAATAAAAGAAATATATAAACATAAAGCTTACTAATTTTTTTTATAATATATTACATGTAATAGCAAAAGTTAAAATTATTTGATTGTTAAAACAAAAGAAAATATGAAAGCAAAGTATTTTCAAAGGATATGACTAACTATTTTGAAAAATAATTAAATTTAAATATATTACGAAGCTTTAAATTAATGAGTTATGTTCATTCTCAGTAAAATAGTTTAATACGCTTATACGAGAAATTTAAAGATTTGCGTATTAATTTTAATTATTTTATTATTGATCAGACTATATGATCTAAATTTCTTCTCCAAGGAACGACTAAGTTTCATTGTACATATTTATAATAATTTAGAAAAACAATCTCAGAAAAATCTAAGAAAAACAAATTAAACTATCCATTTTAACCTAATGACATCAGCTCAGCCTTTGAAATAAACTCTTTATCTTTTGATTAAAGCGAATTAGAATCTAATAAACCATAAAGGAATACTCTATAATAAATGAAAGTATAATAATAATAATTCAGTTGTCAACCCATCAATAATACAAAAAAATATTGTTATAATTCTGATATTATATAATAACAGAAGAAGGATTTAGTTTAGTAATATGCTAAGACATTAAATAGCATATTCTTGCAAGATAATAATAATACCACTTCCATTATATTGTAGTAATTGATAAATAAAAATTTATCTGATGCGTAATTTGCTAAATAGCAGGATAAAAAGAAAAAGATTTAATTTAATGAAAATTCACTATATAAATTATTACAAGTATTTATCCTACTACTAATTGGCATTATGAGCCCAACTTAAATGGTACTTGAAAACACTTCATTTATAATATATGGAAACATGTTTTAAATTACTCTCTTAATATCTTTGATAATGTTACATTTATTTCTAAAAAGTAAATTAATAGCGTCTGACAAAAACAAAACAAAAAACTTTATAATTTATTTAGCTTAAAATCTCTTTTATGAGATATTTATATTATTGTTATCGATAATCTTATTTCTAATCCNTTGTACACCTTGATTAATAATTATATAATGATAAATTGTAAAAGCAAATTTTTTAAATTGTTTCCTTGAACTGTTTTAATATTGATAATTTATTTATCCGGTTTTCAATTCTATTTTTAAGTTTAATTATTATTTTAAATGAATCTCATTTTATATAAGAATTTTATTTTAGAACAAAAAAAATTGAAAAAGTTGGATTCAATCAAACAGAATTATTTGTTGATTTTCTTTATTGATACAAATAACTAAAGTCAATTATAATATAAAAATAAAAGAAATATATAAACATAAAGCTTACTAATTTTTTTTATAATATATTACATGTAATAGCAAAAGTTAAAATTATTTGATTGTTAAAACAAAAGAAAATATGAAAGCAAAGTATTTTCAAAGGATATGACTAACTATTTTGAAAAATAATTAAATTTAAATATATTACGAAGCTTTAAATTAATGAGTTATGTTCATTCTCAGTAAAATAGTTTAATACGCTTATACGAGAAATTTAAAGATTTGCGTATTAATTTTAATTATTTTATTATTGATCAGACTATATGATCTAAATTTCTTCTCCAAGGAACGACTAAGTTTCATTGTACATATTTATAATAATTTAGAAAAACAATCTCAGAAAAATCTAAGAAAAACAAATTAAACTATCCATTTTAACCTAATGACATCAGCTCAGCCTTTGAAATAAACTCTTTATCTTTTGATTAAAGCGAATTAGAATCTAATAAACCATAAAGGAATACTCTATAATAAATGAAAGTATAATAATAATAATTCAGTTGTCAACCCATCAATAATACAAAAAAATATTGTTATAATTCTGATATTATATAATAACAGAAGAAGGATTTAGTTTAGTAATATGCTAAGACATTAAATAGCATATTCTTGCAAGATAATAATAATACCACTTCCATTATATTGTAGTAATTGATAAATAAAAATTTATCTGATGCGTAATTTGCTAAATAGCAGGATAAAAAGAAAAAGATTTAATTTAATGAAAATTCACTATATAAATTATTACAAGTATTTATCCTACTACTAATTGGCATTATGAGCCCAACTTAAATGGTACTTGAAAACACTTCATTTATAATATATGGAAACATGTTTTAAATTACTCTCTTAATATCTTTGATAATGTTACATTTATTTCTAAAAAGTAAATTAATAGCGTCTGACAAAAACAAAACAAAAAACTTTATAATTTATTTAGCTTAAAATCTCTTTTATGAGATATTTATATTATTGTTATCGATAATCTTATTTCTAATCCATATATTACAATTAAAAAAGCTGGAAGTAATAAATATTATGTAAATAATTGCTTGCATTATTTGTTTAGTTAAAAATGTTTCATTATCAAATCATTCTACACAAGCAGGATTAAAAATTTTATTAGGAAATTTTATTTTTTTCCACCTATTAGAATGTTATAAACTTAGTCTAATATATCAATAATCTCTTAATTTATAGTCCTTTTTTAGAAATTATATTTTGATCTTAGTATAATGTAATAGAGTTTAAGAAAGTGGAGATAATATTGGTCTAGCTTTATTGGAGATAGTTAAATTAATCTTTAATTATGTTTTATTCTTTTAAATCTTCATTTATCTATTAAATTTATGGAATACTTATTTTAGCATAGATTATCTATTGGTTAACAAACATAAATAATACGAGAAATTGATGAGAGACTTATAAATTGATTCAGAAATGTCAAATAAGATTTTGAAATAAAGTAAGAGTTATGAATTAGAGGACATCAAGTATTTATCATTGTTTGATCAAATTATATCAAATTAATATTTTCTTTTATAATTGAGAAGACTGTTATTTTAATAATCATAATTATTTGAATAATTTTCTAATTAATCAAAAGATTAACTTATTTAATTTATGGAACTACATTTAATACATCCATAATAAATTATTTCATGTGATAATCTAAATGAAGAGTAATCTATTTATTTCTTGATACATGGTACAATAGATATTGGAATTTAAAATAATTAAAATTTTAATTTCGAAAAAATTGAAGAATTATAATAAGGTTAACATTTTGGATAATTAACGTTTTTTACAGGTTAAAAAGATTATCTTTCTTACAAAAGTAATCATTATGCACTTATATTCAAATTAAAAAGATAGAATATGTTAAAATGTTTAGAAACTAATCTACTTGACAAGGAGATACTATCAATAATAATAAATTAAGTTATTAATAAATAAAATTATTCTTTATTAAAATTGTAATGTCAATGTTGTAATTCAACTCATCATATTTTAAGTAATTGTCCATAATTACACATGTTTGTTGATAAAAATGAAATAATATCTACATATCTATCCCCAAAAAATTAAGAAAGACTAAAATGTATTAATATAATTAATTTAGATATAAGATATTAAAATAAAAAAAAGAGTAACATTTTAAAATTTAAGTTGCCTAAAAGTATTTTGACAAGATCTGATGCTTCAAGGAATATATAAAAAAAGTAAAATAATAATACATAAAATGGTGAAAGGAAGAGTTCAGCATTTAATTTTGATAATAACAGTAATTATTTTTATTAACATAGGTGATATTCCTAAGGAATTTACAAGTGAAAAAATATTAGAATAGCAAATATTATAACATTAGTTAAATTCTATTAACAGTGAACATGTTATTTAAGAATTTTAGAATGATACTTAAAAGAAAAGCAAACTATTTGTTGCTTTAGAATAGAATATAGAACACAACTAATAGATGGATATTAATATAGGAACATTGAATCTAGATTGTTAAGATGTTTTAATTAATCCCTATTAATATATAATTACAGATAGCAAACCTTATTTGGATGAATGTGAATCAAGCAATATGATTAACAACTTAAATAGCTACAAATCTAGGCAGATGTCAGGAACAAATATGAACTCCATGCCACACCATTAGTTTATATCTTTAACTGGATAAGTATTATATATATTAAGTATGTACTAGGTGACATCTATTTTAAACAATGAATTTTATAATTAATTTACAAATTTAAATATTGATAAGTGGTAAAATTACAGTTATTTTGATGCTGAATATAATTTATATAACATAGTATAAAAGATATCATAGTAGAAAAAGGATTAAAATTTATTAAAGTAAACTTAAGATTACAATATGAGTATAAGGATAGAAAAATTGATAATATAGGATGATGATTGATATTAATTATTATAATCATTATTATGATTATTATTATTATTTTTATCTATTAAATTATAATTAATCAGAGGATTGACTTAAGTTAAAAAATTCTTTTAGATTCTTTCCTCCTTTTATATTAATATATAAATATAGATAAAATAAGACTACATTAAAAATCTAATAATACATCATAACTTTGTACATAAAGAAATAAATCAATCTTTAAATTTGGAATTGAATTTTCTACGTGTTTATCCAGCTTTAGTTATTTTCTAAAATGAATAATAAATATATTTTACTTTCAAATCCATTTTAATTTAAGCAATTTATAATGACAATTGAACAACCAATTAGACTAGATTTAGATATTCAGGATTTGTGGATAGATTTGTCATAACTTTAACACAAATTTTACTTAAATATATTAATTAAGTATACCATGCTGGATCTCTGTCAACATCAGATATATATATAATATGAATAGATTTTTGATTAGCATTAAGTAATTGTATAATTTCAGGAGTGCAAATTTATTGGGCAATTTCATCATATTCTGTGAGTATTTAAAGAGAATTATCTAATTCTGGTATTGTAAGAGTCTCTAGATATATTTAATGAATATACATGACAAATATTCTTGAGATCTTCATATCCTTCTTATTTGATTCTCTTAATTTAATTTTGTTTAACAATTCCAAAACATATATATTATCTAAATTATGGTTGCACACCTATTTCAATAACTAATCTTTCTTTTGATGGAAATACAAATTAATAACCATAATAATTGAACAAATTTTCTCTTCTATGAAGCTGATTGTTAATTATAATTATACATATAATCCAACTAAACAAAATTTCATTGATGGATGATTGGAAGCATATAATTTGTAAGTATGAGGATTATCTTATTCATAAAGTATATCTTATTCTTTATCTCCAACATTTTTAAAATATTTCTTTAGCTCAAGACTAATTTGATTCATATGAATTTTTGCTAATCTTTTGTTAAACTTTGATCCTCTGATATATTAGAAAGCAAATATAATTATAGTGACAATAAAGATGGTTTCATAGAAATAGAATTTATACCAAAATAATGGATTAAGGTACGTTATGAGTTTAAACAAGACTTATTCTGGTGTCATATTTGATATTTATATATTAAATAATCACTAGCACAAATAAAATTTATTATCTTTATAGTAAATCTTTTATCCTGAAGCTGAGCGAAATATTTTATCCTATATTGATAGGATATTTTCATCATGTTAAACTTTTTGATTAATTACTGTATCAAAATCATACAATAAAATTTATTTAGCTCCTTATTATAATTCAGCCCATCTTAATGAATCATATAAATTAAACATTGCCTCTTTGGCATCATAATTAATTGATAAACTTTTATATTTGGTTTCTATTATATTATTTAATATATATATATACCATCTATATTAACTATTCTATTTCTTAACTCTTATCCAAAATCAATAATCACTGATTCTTTTAAATCTAAATCAATCTCTTAACCTATATTGATTTATTAAAAAGTAACAATAAATGAATTTATTCTAGCAGAATAATGTTTTAAAAATTAACCAGGTGCTTCCATTGAATTTTTACGATCTAAATTTTATAAGTTTTCTAATTCTTTTTCTAATTCTTCTTCATTTTCTTCTATTTACATATATTTATTTTCATATTTTATAGCAAAATGCTTTAATTAAACACTCTAACCAATCTTTTACATTATTGTTTCCTTTGCCAAACTGCCTAATCTTAATATATGCAATTCATTTCCCAATGGTTTAATAACTGTACTTTCAATACCATTATCACTTCTGTCTGCATCAATTATATGAACTCTTTAATCATAAAAATCATTAAAAACATGAGCAGCACTAGTAGGTGATATATGAGTGAATAAATTTGCAGAAGGGGCAGCAATAGGAAGATTAGCTTTTTCTAACAATTCTAAGGCTACTTTATGATTTGGTATTCTACAATAATATTATCAATTATATACCTAATTCCTATTGATCCAGTGCCTGCTGATAAAATTTCAGTTGTCTCTAATTAAGTTGATCTGAATAATATTAATTAAATACTTTAACACAATTGTGAATGGTCCTGGCCAAAATAATTCAGCAAAAGAATCCAAAAAGTCTGGTTTATCAGTATATATGTTATTTTTATCATGAACATGTACAATAAGAGGATCACTTAAAGGTCTTCTTTTGGCTTTGAAAATATTCAATATAGCTTAAGCATTTTTAGCATTTGCTCCTAATCCATACACTGTTTCAGTTGGAAATGCTACTAATTCACCTTAATGTAATAGTTAGGCTACAATTATACAATATTTATGTACCTGCTATATGTAATTCATCTAAATGAATAATTCCACAATGAATTTCTTTGAGAGGATCTAATTAGATTAAATCCTTATATTTAGTAATAAATTATTGTATTCTCTCTTTAGAATATAGTTGAGGAAAGTTTTCCATCTCTTAAATAATATAATTTAAAATAATTCTTACATAATTTTAAATTTAACAACATACAATTTATCAATGTTAATTTGAGTTCTGTTTATTACCTAATAAATCAAAGTCTATTCTTATTAATATAATATAAATCTTTTATCATATTATCTATTTATGAATATTATATATATATTCATTCAATAAATTCTATATTAATAAATATGTAAAATGACGAAACTAATGATACGACAACATAAATTAATGATATAGATGTACAATCATAGTAAAAAGAGACAGAAAATATCCAATAAGATAATTAACAAGAAGTTATTGAATAATAAACTCTTGAATAATAATAATAATCAAATGAAGCACTATTGAGACAAATTGATGATGATGAACCTGTAATCAAATTTATATGATATAGATATTCATACTAGTTAGCAATCCTTCAGAAGTTAAATCATCCTCTATGAATAAATACCTTGTTTATACAGTAAAGGGTAAAGATGCCTTAGGAAATTTTGAAGTTCAGAGAAGATTTAATGAATTTTATACATTGAGGGAAGCATTAATATAAATTTGGCCAGGTTTGTACATACCACCTTTGCCAGATAAATTAGTAAATCCAACAGGTGAACAATTATTAGAAAGAGTTAGATTATTGAATATATTTGTGATGAAGATGGCACAAATAAAGTATTTATATTATTCAGAAGAATTTGTATAAGTATTTCTAAGATCAACATAATTGGATGTTTGTAAAGTATACATAAATTTTATATATATATAGTAAATACAAAATTTACCAAAACCTAATATTAGATCATAGATTGAGAAATTCAAACATATTTTTGAATTAGACTAAGTTCAAGAACCAGATGGTGATTCAATTAATAAGATTAATTAAATGTAAAGATTTTGTAAATAATCTCAACAATTATTGAATAAATTATTTGACTAAGCCAAAAGTTTAAGTGGAAGTAAAAGATGTTTGAAGGAATTATTCCATTCTTTTTTTGGATATGGATTGTAAGAATTTGAATAATAAATATTACTTCCTTGTTTAAATAATGAAAAATAACTTATTTTAACAAATCCTGATGCTTAAGAATTGAAATCTACTTTAGATTATTTAGTAATTATATATAAATATTAATTTTAGAAAGATCAAAATTAAATATCTTTAGATAAAATCTAAGACTTGATATCAACAGAATAGAGAGATATGGAAGCATTTTTATAAGGTTTTTAATCAAGAGAATCTCTATTACATACAAAGTCAAAAGTTGAGAACAAATTAAGAGAGTAACAGGAATAATTAACAAAAGTTATGATTGCAAAAGGAGGTAGTTTTGGTAAAAGTTAGGAAGAATAAAGATAGAAAATTGAATTACAAATAGTTGAAGTATGCAAATAGTTTTATATATATAAAAGAGCTAAAACGATGTAGACTCATATAAATATTATTATTAATTGGTAACTCATGTATTGACAATGAAAGCAATTGATAAATTTAAGAAAGACAAACATGAATCATACAAGAGAATCATAAGAGATTTAGCATAATTGGAAATAGAAAATAATTAAGTTATGTAAGAAGTCTGGACCAGAATTATAAGTCTGGCAGAGTCATTAAGAGTGAAGGAATGATGAATAGTATTAAAATAATAATCAATCATCACCTTATCTCGAATATTTATAGAAAAAATAATCTTTAAGAGAAATTAAACTAGAATTCCAAAGTCATAATCTTATTTATAATACCACTAATAAGGTTTGTTTTGACACTAAAAGAATTATTGTTTATTAAATAATAATAATAAAATTATATTATAATATATTACTCAAATTAAAAGCTTAGTTAAAATGTTACTTCCATATTCAATACATTACAAATTTAGATCTTTAATTTTCTAATAACTCTATTAAAACATTACTGGATGATCTAATTGATCTCTTAAACCTTCTATTATTTAATCTCTATTTTCATAGACTGTAGCATCAATATTCCTAATTATTTTTATTTCACTTTTTGGATTGAACTTAACATATTTTTATAATTCTTTCTCAAATTCTAATTTACCTTAAGATAATAAAGAACAATGAAAAGCTGCTGATACTTCTAAAAATAAAGAATTAACCTTCTATTTTTTCAATTCTGCTTACATCAATTTTAAAGATTCTTTATCACCAGAATAGACTAATTAATTTTATGAATTATATAAAGCAGGTTCAATAATCTGATTTTTAAGTAAAACCTTATTTATGATTTGAGTGAAATCTTAATTACTTGCTACTGCTAACATACCCATTTATCTTCCTTTACTGCAATCTCTCATTATACATCCTCTTTTATAAAGCAATTAGACAGTCTCTTATGGATCTAAATGACCTGCTATTGTCAAAGCAGCATATTCACCAACTGAATGTCCAATAGCATATTATATTTCAGCATCATGGATTTATTAATATCGAATGTATGAACAGATGAATATGGCTGGCTAAGTAAATTCTGTTTAATTGAGAATTGCTTATGGTCCTTCCTCAATACATTTTTATAAGCCTGGTACATATTTAACTAGATTCAGATATTGTTGAGAATCAAGTGATGCATGCATACCAACTTTTTAAATACCTTGGCCTGGAAAGAGATGCAAAATTCTTCTCATTAATTTTTAATAAACAATCACAACAATTATTGTAATCCACCAACTAATCTAGTTAGATTCCTTTAACTAAATATATTTCTATATTCTTCATTATATTTTCGAACAGTCTATATTTTGGGAAGAGGAGTTTGTAGTTTATTATAATCACTTATGGTTTTCCGTTGACGAACAAAACCCTCATGAGTTAGTGATGTGCTTTATTACACTTTGTATTTTTGTGAAGGTTATGAACTTAACTCTTACAATTTCACTTCATAATATGATACACGAGGATCTATTGGTTGGGTATTCAACTTAGGAGGCAATTTATATTTTGATTTAAATCTATTCATATTTATATATATTTATAATCTCTATATTGATATGAAGATATATTTAAGCATAAAAAACAGAACAATTTATCTTAAAAAAAATACATACATAAATCAAGTGCAATATTAAATCTTACCTGATGGAGCATTCCATTTTCTATAATTTTAGTAACCTTGATTATTCACATTAGCTAAACGAGATAACTCATTTGGCACTTCATTTTATGATTCTCTTAATACTCCAACCAAATCTCCTGCTAATTTAGCATCTTCATACGAATCAAATAATGAAATAGATACACCTTAAGCCCCAGCTCTACCTAATATAAATTAAAAGACATTTGTACCTGTCCTACCAATTCTATGAACATAGTCCTCTATCAATTTAGGCATATCAAAATTAATTACAAATTCAATATCCTTAATATCTAATCCTCTAGATGCTACATCAGTTGCCACCAATACTGTTGTATCTCCTCTTTTAAAACTATTCATTACAAAATCTCTTTCTGATTATCTCTTATCTCCATGCAATGATTTACATCTCATACCTTCTTGAATCAAATAAAGTTATAATTAATCACATTTTAATTTAGTCTAACAAAAGATTAAGATCTTTCTTGATCCTAATTATTTCAGAATTTCTCTTAACTTTTCTTCCTTTTATTCCTTATTTAAAATGATCACCTTTTATTAAATTTATCTATTGCTAGTTAAATCCAGACTTCCAATCTGTATATGAATTGGTTATTGTGTACAAAAGTCTAAAGCTAATGATTAAACTTCTCTAGGCCAAGTAGCTGAAAATAACATTGTTTATCTTTCAGCTCTAGTTTAAGCTACTATTTTTCTTATTGATGGTTCAAATCCCATATCCAACATCCTATCAGCTTCATCCAATACTAAAAATGTTATTCCTTTCAATGTTGTACTTCCTGATTCAACCAAATCAATTAATCTACCTGGACAAGCTATTAATATATGAGGATGTTAATTCAATTAATTTTTTTATATAAATTTCTCTTAACCTCCAAATAAACAAGCTGCTTTTAATCCAGAACCAACTGAAAACTTTGTAAATTGCTCATAAATTTAATTAGTAAGTTCTCTTGTAGGAGCCATAATCAAACATTATGGGTCTGAATTTTATTTTAACTAAGCTAAAATATGGATTATGGCTGGCAAAAGAAATGCCAAAGTTTTACCAGATCCTGTTTAAGCAATACCAATTAAATCATGACCTGTCAAACCAATAGACCAACTTTATGCTTATATAGGAGTTGGAGCTGGAAATCCAGCCTTTACAATTAATTCTTATAATGGTCTAGGAAAACAGTAAACATCCTCAAATCTAAGTATAGGATCAGGAACAAAAGTATGAGCTGATTTAATGAAGATTCTATTAGTTTATCGATATTTTCTAACATCTTCTGGATTAGTATTAGGTCTACCCTAATGGAATATTTGTATAAATTTGTTACATCCATAAAAACCTTTTTGATTTGTTACAAATTATGTTGGCATGTCTCTTAGGGTCTCAATTACTTCTCTCTACTTCTACTACGACTTCTGCTATGTGAATGAATCATAAAAATATTATTAAAGTAAGACTGCTAAAATTTTAGTTGAAATATTTAGTTCTTTATTATAAAATTCCTCAATATTATTATCTATCATTAATGAATGTTAATAATCATTATAAACATTAAAGATTATATAAATATAATTTTATATTATTAACAATGTTTAGCAGTGAAAGTATGCAAGAGCATATTTTGTATGATAAAATCTATTAATACCTTTGGGTTAAATCAGAAACTGCCAATCCTCCTGCCATCCTCATTCCTGATACTGTCATACTTATTCGTTCTATGCCCATCTATTGGTATTACACAGATAAAGAGACAGGGGAAATCAAAAAGAAAATGAGAAAGAATGTTACTAAACAAAATATAAAACAAACTTGGAATCAATAAGTTGGCCGAGGTGGTGTTGTAGCATACCTTTTACATTTTATGTATGCGTTGTTCCCTACTAATTTGCAAGTGATAATTTAGATCTGAATTACCCTCCAGAAAAGTTTCAAATCAGTGGCTAAATCCAAGTGATATACTTTGATGTTGAAGGATTCAATAAATTTATGGATGGCCACTTTGAATTACCATTTGGTATTTTATAACAATTCATTGAACCAGCAGATGATCGCAATTGTAAATTAACTAATCATTATTTCATAGCCTAAATTCAAGCCTTCTGGAGTAAATCAGTCACTCTATTTACTAAAAGAGTTTGCAAGAAATCTTTCACCAATAAGTCAATGAACATTTATGAACGACATTGTACTTTCGAAGGACCTGAATATTTCAGTGAAGCAAGTATCATTATATCCTTCATAGTTCATTTAAGCATAAGTGAAAGATTTCTAATCCTAAAGAATCTCTGAACAAATCGATAAAATGATCTCTCATCTAGATGCTATCTCTTATGGCAAATTAAACATATCACAAGGAACTTTCTATTTCAAAGTAGATAAAAAAGCAAGATGTTGGTTTCTATTTTGTGGTAATCTTAAATTTGAAGATGATAAATAACTTAAGAATCTACCTAAAGATCTATATACCTAATCTCAAATCAAAGTATAATTTAATCCTATAATTCAAAAGATTCCAAAATCAATTGATAATTTGATGTCTGTTTACAATTCAAGACCTTTATAATTGAATAGAGAACATAAATGTATCAGATGTGGTTAATTGGAGAAAGGATCAAACTTTGTAGAAGTCCCATATCATTTTTTAATTGATTTATCTGAAAATCCACTTCCTGTTGAATAATGGCCTCTCGAAGTTAAGAAATAAGCCAAATAAGTCAAACTTAGTGGTGCAAACCAAGAAAAGATTGCATATGTCAATACTATATCTTAAATCCCAATGACTTTATAGAAAATACATGAAAAATTAAATATTCAAAACTATCAAGAATTGAAATAATCTCAAGGATTTAAATATAAAACAATAGCAGTTTGTTTAGATTGTTATTTCATAATGGGTATATAGATATGTACTATAATTAGTTGAAAACCAAGAAAAAATTGCTATGTAAGAGGTTACATCTAAAGGGAAGAATAGTATGCCAAGAGTAAAATCTAAGCAAATTTAAAGAAAAGAATAGAGTCTTAATCAATTTCTCAACTCAACTCAATTATTTAAGTAAGTAAAATCTGTGAAAAACATTTAAATAAAATAAGTGGCTTCTCAGACTCCTACTCCAAAAGAAAATACTATTTAGAAATATGTTAGTCTTAGATTGACAAATTGTAAATCAATAACTCCTATAAAATATTCAATTGAAGTTCCATCAACAGCTGATTATTTGTCAAGGAAGACAAAATCTACATACTAAGATATGAGTTCGACTTACAAATTCAAGAATAGTAGAGATAACTATAATCAATCATTACAAGAGAGATAATAAAATAAATTGATAGAAATAAAAGATGAATAAGAATAATGATATTTAATTTAGTGACTGTTATTTTATTAAAAAAAAGGAATGTTTATTTAAGCTTCAATTCCAAGAACTCGTTTGGCTATAACTCCAACTAATGTGAGATATGTTTGTTTAGATTCAACTCCTAATAGGTAGTAGTTAAATATGACACAAAGAATAGATGAAAAATAACCAATTAGATAAGGAAATGATCGCAATTCATTTTTAGTCAATTAAAATAAAGAGAATCTAAATAGGATCCCTGGCAATTCATTTTCTCTTAGTTCAACTTCTAAAGAACTCTAAATATAAATTCAAGAATTAACTAAATAAAGAGATAGTATGTAATATACACTTTAGGAAGCTATTAGAAAAAGCAATATTATGGAATAATAATTAGATGTATTAAATTGTATATTATATAAGTAATTGTAAAGTTAGAAAATTGAATAAGCTATATAATTTTAGATAAATATGGATTAATTTCAAGACTAAATTAATATTTTAACAAAGAAATTATAAGACCTTATCAATGATAATAATTATCTCTAAGAATAGTATTAGAGTTAATAATTTTATATTGAAGAATTAGGATTTTAAGAAGATGATCAATTTAATATGACTCATAACTTTGGTTAAATGTGAAAAGTAATTATTAGTTATATTTAATTTATTAATTAATGTTTTCATAGTAATTAGATTAATCAAACTCTCAAAATTCTTCATAATAATCATAGACCTTTCTAACAGTTCCTCGTCTCATTCAATAAGACTCTCAAGCTTATTATGTAGGAGGCCATAAATAAATAGATTTTGAAGATCCAAATTCATTATAAAAAAGTGAGCATAAGGAAAGTTTAGAAGAAGGAGATATTTTAGGTTCAAAAATATCTATTGAGAAACGTGAAATCAATAGAATTGATGAAGTTGAAGAAAATTATAAATCATTAAAACTATTTCAAATTGAAATGTAAAATGTCAGTGGCAGGAAGCTTATAATAAATACTAGAAAGGTTAGTGATCCAAATGATATTGGAATTTAAAAGTAAACAGAATAAATTGGAAGAGCTTCATCACCAAATCTAAAAATTAAAGAATGTCCATTATAGGATTCATTTACTGTTGCTAAATGGCCTAAAAGATGGTTCTACATAATTAAGTTTTTAAGTAAGTTGATGTCAGTATAACCAAAAATTCTTAAGCAATCACATTTAATGTTAATTGACGATAAGGCTTTGATTATAAATCAAAAGATATTTCTTTTAAATCCATTTTCTCCATTTATTGTTTGGAGTCGTTATATTTTTCTATTATTATACATTGTTGGATTTGTACTTATCTATTTAGAATTCGCTTTTACTGTCACCAATAGTATCTTTATAATTTTTTGTATATTTATAATTTAATCAAGTTGGATTCACAATTGTAGAAACTCTGAGCAATTACTTTATTGGAGTTTATATCTAAGAATTATACACAGAAAATAGATGGCTTGTAGCGAAATAATATTTAATGTATGATTTAGTACATATAATATCTTGTCTCCTTACAATATTTTACTCTTAATATTTCAGTAACAACATTATTTATACTAGTAATATTTCTATTATTCAGAATATAAAGATTATATGTTATTAAGACTAATATTTTGAATTACACAATTCCAATATTGATAATACATGTAATAACAACAATTCATACAAAGTTTTTTGATGATTAGTAAATATTAAAATATAATTAGATTCTTAGATCATAATTATCTATCTAAATATGTAATCTCTTTATAATGGACAATATATTAGATTACTAATAGTGGTAATACTATTGAAATAGAAGATTGTTCTTAATAGTCAATATAATTATAGATTTTATCTATTGTAACAACTATTTTTGGTTACATTATTACTATTTATTTAATAACAAATGTAATTAATTTTGGGAAATCAACAGATAAATATAAAATTAGTGCTGAATTGAATGAAAATGTATAAAGATATTTACATAGAGATAAAATTGAATCAATTAATATTGAAGAATTTTAATAAGAATTATAATAAGAATTAAGAGAAGAACTCTTTATGCCATTATTATATAAATTACCATTTTCTAAATAATTTTTATAAAATTTATGTTAAAAACTTAAAAGTGCTGTTTATTCAAATGGTACAATTTTGTAATTTTAAAATTAAATGATGGATAGATTATTATTTTTAATGAAAGGGAATGTAGCTTAATGTATAGGTAATAAAATTTTAGTTCATAATTAAATTCCAATTTAATATTTCTATTGTTAAATTTAATGTCCAATTTAATTAAAATGTTTGAGTGAATCTTTAATAGCATATATAGATTTAAATGATTTTTTACAATTAATTAAATTACATAATTCTGATTTTTAAAAATATTGTATGTTAAAAGACAATTATAAGATTGCTTGTCATTGTTGTGGTTATAGAAATCATACTTTTCATTAATGTAATCATGTATTTTATGTACCAAATTTTAAAGAACTTATACTTTTACATAATACTTCAGAACCTAATAATAGAATGAGTTTTTATAGAGATAATGGTAGAAATAGAATTAATTCTTTAATGAATAAAAATCTTATATGTATTACAGCTATTAGTTTTGCCATAATAAATTAAATAGCTTTAGAAGTTGATTTAACAAATGAAGTAATGGGAAGATTTCAAGGAACCATAAGTAATTTTGAAGATTCTATATTGAATGATTATCAAGAAGAAAGATCTTCTCGTTAATCTTTATAATAAAGACTTGGAACTTTTGATGTTCCTAAAAGTTATAATTAAGGAGATACTTTTAGTAGTCAAACTTATTTTTAAAATAGTATTCCAGTATTGAAAGTAGAAGAGAGAGAAGCATCTTAGAATAGTAGAAGATATATTCATAAACATATTGATTATAGTGCAACAAATAATTCCATAAAGGCAAATTTGGTTAAGTCATCTAATTCAAATGAATTATAAGTGAAACGAAGTTAGAAAATTAAATAATCAAATTCAAGTTGTTCTTTAAACAAGAAATCAGGATTGGGAGGTTCAGGAATATCTTAATTAGGTTCAATAATTCCATAATAAGAAGTTTATGATGACGATTTAGATTAAGTGTGCAATTATGAATATTATTATCCTTCATATAATATCGAATATATAGCAAATGCTTTAAATCATAAATTAATGAGCAAATACATACAGTTTGTCAATTGATTATATAAATGTACTTTAACAGAAAATATAAATAATCATATGATTACAAAATTAAAACAATTGATTAATGATAACACTGTTGGACAAACAAATAATCCTGTTCTGACTGCATTAAGAGACTTAAAATTAAATAGCAATGATACTTAATTTACATAATAAGTAGAAATAAGTAAAAGATTAAAACATTTTTTTGCAAATGATCAATCAAAAGTATATAAATATATCAAACTTTTATAGTCTTAATTCTTAAAATCATTATTAATAATAGTTGGAGACTATTTACAATAAGAGAGAAATTTCTATATAAAATTAAAAATGCTCTTATTAGTTCATATTATCATTAGTTCTTAAGTAGCTAGAGCTGAATTCTCAAAAATGATTATAAATACAAAACTTATAATAAACATTAAGAGTTAGGAAGACATTGAGAATTTACATGGTTAATTATGTTAATCCTATTATTGCTATATTTATAAATTGGCTGCTTAAACAACTTTAATTAATGAAGAATTCAATAAACCTTAAGATGATCTAATGATATATTTTACATTATCTAATTAATGCTATATTGGAATGAATATGTAATAATTAATAGAAAGAATCAATCAAGATCATGAACCTAATCATGTTATGGCACATTTAGTTAAGTTTTTATATTTTGACATATAGGATATATATATTTTTATACTCAAAGATGTTAAGTATCTAATAGAAAAGAATCCAACTCTCATAGGCAATAGATAATAACTATTAGAGTTATATAAGGAAGTATAATAAAACAACAAAATTAGTGTCAATCATTGTAAACCAAGATGTTGAGTTTTTACAAATTCAATAGATTCTTTCCTCATTTCAATTAGATTATGCCTCCCCATTCCATATAGATCAAAGCCTCTGTTTTAAATTCTATAATTGAAGAGAAGCCTCTAATTAAATAATCTTCTATTAAATCAGGTTCACATGAAATAAGAGAACCTTTATCTGTTAAAAATTCAGATAGAAAATTTCAGGAATATAATAGACCATTCTCTCCAAAATAGAAGATGAATTAATGATCTTAAATTCCAATTTTAAAATACTTAATTTCCTTTATGAATTAAAATAAATTATAACTAGTACACTTATATCAACTATGGCCATCTAACAATAGATTCTTTTGTCATGGTCGTTTAATGACAGGACCTAGTTCAGACAATACTACCAATATAATGACATGGTTATTAATATTACTTGTAGGTGCTCCATTTAATTTCTTCATCTCACCTCAGATTTGGATTGTTTTGCATCCCTCTCTACCAATCATTTCATATGTCATGTACTTTTCATGTGTTCTATTTCTATTTTTAACTTAGTTCACTGATCCTGTAATATATAATATCAATATATAAGGGTATTATACCTAGGAAGGAAATCATAGAGAAAATGAAAGATGAAAATTTATTACATTTTATACCAACTGAAAATGATAATGCAGATTATTAAGTTAAAATATGTGTCACTTGTATGATTAAAAAACCACCTCGTTCAAATCATTGTGCAGAATGTGATAATTGTGTAGATGTATTTGATCATCATTGTCCTTTTGTTAATAATTGCATTGGAAAACGTAATTATGCATATTTCATATCATTTATATCAACACTTACTATGGCAGCTATTTCTTTTGGAATTGAATTGTTATCTTTCGTTATACTAATTGCAACAACTGATGAAAAAGTTTAACAAATTTTAATCATTGTTTTGATGATCCCTTTTGGAATTTGTATAATCTTAATCTTTGGTTTGCTTATATTTCATATCTTTCTCATTATTACCGGTAAAACTACTAAGGAACAATTAAAACATTTAGAAATGAGTTCAACTAATAGAAAATGTCAAAGAACTAAAAGTCTATTTAATTGTAGAACAATTGTTGAAAAATAATAATATGATCAAATTAGATATGATTAAGATTTAATTAAAATCAATCCCATTGTTATTCCAACTTGATTAAAACTAATTATTTTTATAAATCTATTTCATTAATATAATATTTAATTCATTCAAAATACATTTTATTATTCATTATAGAAGATTAGCAATCTTAATCATATAGATAATTTACAAATGATTACATTAAGATTTATTAAATTGTAAAGATATTAATATTTATACTATAAATTTTATTCATTTAATATATATTTATTAATTAATTTAATATAAACATAAATATAATTATTGTTTATTTATATTTTATTATCAATCATTTATAATCTTGATTAAATTAAGAATTATTCTCATCTTTTTTTTTATGATAATTAAAAAATATATTCTATCAATAGTTCTAACTTCAAATACTAAATATTTTATTATGATAAAACCTGCAAATCTTATTTTAAATATAAAGTTATATTATTTATAATTCGATATCCATTAATGCATATATATTTACTTAAAAATATTTTATTTGATATTATAATATCTTATATTATTGAATCATAATCTTTAGATCAATTTTAAACATAATTATATCAATTTAGTTAAAAATATTTGATAATATACTTTTTATGATTTTTTCATTAATCTTGCCAGTATTTGATTATGTTAAATTATTCATATAGAATAATTATGTAATTTTATAATATTATATAATATATTAGTTAACAAAACTTTCATCAAATAGAACAATATTTTCTTAGTTCAAGATTTTAAGTGTGATTTTTTACAAAAACTTGCATAAATAAATAATATAAATTAATTAGAATTATCACTTATAACATTAAGATAATAGTATTATAAGAATTTGAAAAAAAATCGTGTGTTTGTTCAATCATTAATATCATATTTTTTATGCAATATTTCCACCTTTTATTGGTCGCAATAGCTTGTAAGGAAATCTAAAATAAGAAATAATAATTCTTAACAGATGATGGATATGAAGATGATGATGATGACAATACAGCATCAATATTCTTTCTTTTTATTCTGGGGTTTTTTCTCATAATTTTCTCAGCAGCTTTATTATGGTACAATGAAAGAAGAGAAGCAATAACAGAATATCGATTAGTAAATATGAGAAAAATATGTAAAATTGGAGATTGTAATGAAATTCATCATGAATTAAATGGAGAACTAGTTCATATTCAAGGTAAAAGAATTAAAAATTTCAAATAGGACAAACATCAACAGATATAATCGTTGAAGATACTGAATTTGGAATAACTTTATCCTCTTGTATTAAATTAAAACGGCATGTTGAATAGCTTCAATTTGTTAGAATTGAGCATAAACATAAAAAAAGTGCTACAACATATACATATGAATTAAAATGGAAAGCTGAATAAGTTTGTAGTGCTGGATATCCTTCTGAATATTAAAATAAACCATAATTATGGTTAGTTAAATCTTAAGATAAACTTAATCCAGATGTACGATTAGGAGCATTTACTTTATCTGAATCATTAAAGTAAGGTTGTAATAACTTTTAATTTTTTGTTCCAGATGATGCATAATTATAGGCTGCATCAAAATTATTTGGAAAAGAATTTCCTCATATGTATTTGATTATTTTCAATAATATAGAAAAATTAATCAACGTGATCTTTATTTATAACAACATGAATATCAAAAAACTGTTGGAGACTTAAGAGTTTGTTTTGAATATGTTTTATGTGGTAATGCAACAGTTATTTCTAAACAAATGAATAATACTTTTATACCATATGTAATAGAAGATAAATGGTTATCTGAAAAGAGTCTTCATCCAGATGAAATGGATGAAGATGAAGGTTGTGGTGATTGTTGTTAAAAAGTAGCTGAATTAGCAAAAGCAGCTGAATAACCATTAAAAGAGATTGATTGGATAAGAGAAAAATAATGGTCTAAGAATAAAGTATTCTTAATGGAATTAAGTAAAAATGCTGCTTTAACATATAAAACAAGATTCTTAGGTTATATATTAATGGTATTTCAATTTCTTTATAAATAAGGTTATGGGAATATTATTCTTATTTTACCCAGTTATATGGCTTTTTTCATTATTACCTTGGATTGGTCAATTTACAGCTGCATTATTATTTTTTATTTTTCTAGGAGTAAGTATGATAATATCATTACCTGTTTGTTTACTTATTGCATTGGTTGCTTGGATGAGATACCACATAGTTTACGCAATAATAAATTTCTTTGGCTTAATAGTAGTATTATATATAGTTTCCATGTTTGCTGGTGGCATATATTATTGATAAAATATAAAAGAAATCAATAAAATTAAAATTAAGTGATACTTGATTTATCTGAATTTCAAGTAGCACTTAAGATATTATAAAATATCAATAAATAATTTATTAAGTTTTTATTTATTAATTGATTCAATTATTTTTAATAATTTATACATATTTTTTATTTTTGATGGGTATCTGTTCTAGTAGATAGAAAGATAATTTATTGTCAGATGTTGATAATATTCCTTTATTAACTCGAGGTTAACTTGGATTTGATATAATTGTTGAAAATATCAAAGTTAAAATGGATGATATAGTATAATATTTATTAATTATAATAAGTAAAGTTGCAAAGTGAAAGTGATTATATCAAATTATTCAACCTTTGAGACTGAAATTGAGAATGAAATCTAAGGATAATTTTATGTAATAATATATTAATCTTTTAGTTTAAACATATTCACAAATTTTAATTGAAATGTAATGAGGAATAACTAAAATAACAATTTGTTATTGTGGAACTGAAGAATGAAAAGGATGAATAGATTTCCACATTTAATCTCAATTTATATTAAATAGCTACAGGTCCATTTCATTTTGATTACGAAATCTCTTAATTAGGATCTAGAAAACACGGAAAAATGAGTTTTGATTTCAAGATGGCTTAAATTCTTATTGTTAGATTTATTCCAAAATTAATTGATTTTAATTTAGAAGAAACTTTAAATAAACATGAATATTGTTTCTAATTAAGAATGCTGACATCATAATTACAATTTCATTCTGAATATTCTCCAGTCTTTTAAAATCAATTATTCTATAAAACATAATAAATATAATCTAATAAATAAATATTATGGAAAGATTCAAAAGTTGAAATGGAAGTAGAAGTACCTTTAATAGAAATAACTTCTTCTTCCATTTAAATTGCTTTATTTCATATAGGAAAAGATGGTAAAAAAGAAATAGAATGTGAAGCATATGTTAATTTAAATTATGCTTTAAATTAAAAAGCTGAATAGGTATTTATATTATTTATATTATTTAGATTATTGATAAGGGAATAAAGTCTTATAAAATAGACTGGAAATAAAACAATAGAAGAGTTTGGAATCATGGAGTTTTAGAAGGAATACTTAATTATCATCTAGAAATCATTTTACCATTTCATTTAAAATAATAAATAGTTGGAGTTCGTACTGATAAAGGATTATCTTAAGGAACCAGAGTAATTAATTAAGCTAAAGCAAGTATAAGAGAAATATAACAATTAAGTTCTGCTGGATAAGGTCTATTAGATACTTAATATATTATATTTAGTAAAGTAAATCAATTTTTAATATTTTTAATAGGCTGAACCTGATTCATAATTAATTCAATAATAAAATGATTTTATTATTTAAATCATTGATAATTTAAAATTAAGTCATAAATAATCTATGGTATGTTTTGAATATAAAACTTAATAAGATCTCTTTAACTCTTAAAAATTATTAATTGATTTAGCAATTAAATTATTAGAAACAGCAGACTAATAATAAGAGACATTAAGAGAATAATATTATACTATACTTAAATTAATAATTAATAGAGGAGAATTAAGTTTAGCTTAATTAGGATTTTCTGATTAAACATAAAAAACAAATGAAAAGTTATTAAAATTAAAAATAGAAATTGGTTTAACTTATTAGATTTTTTTATAAAAAGGATTATCAATAACATTAGAGAAATTAAAATAAAAATCATTGGCACAAAATGAAAGATCTTTTGTTGAAAATTTCTTTGCAAATGCTTATTTTAGAGTACCAGAATTTAGAAATAGAATAATTGTAAGTGTTTAAAGAACAGATGATGAATAAATACCAGAATGGAGATCTTTAACTAAATCAACAGGTGGAATACCTAATTAAGAATTTAATGATATTTTTGATTGGAATAAACATTTTTATGAATATCTTATGAAATAACCAAAATATTATGCCAATAATCATAAAATGAATGAAATTATTAATTAACAAATGTGGTAAGATCAATTAGGAAAAAGAGGAACTGTTTTCTTTTTATTTATCTAAGAATGGTGTGATTTGTTAAATACATATATAATTAATACAAAAAATGTACCATATCATTAATTACCAGGATATTTTTAACTTATTAAGGCATTTTTTGTAGAATTAAAAACAAGAGAAATAAGTAACTATCCAGAAGCTCTTAAAATAGCTTTATGTTCATTACTTAGAAACACTAATTTATTAAATACAATAATTATCATTTTATTCAGTAAAGTTAGTTTATATAACTCTGATGATGTAGTTCATTGTTTAGATCTATTAAATAAATGTTTTTAAAAAATAAGCCAATTTAATTTATGTATGCCATCTTTCTTAGATTAAAAATATTTTTTAAAAGGAATTAGAGTTATCCTTACTTAAAGTGAGCATGCATAAAGTATAGCTAAATGTTTAGAATTAATTTACACAAATTATATATTATTTCCAGGTAGTTTTTAATAAATATATAATTAGTGGATCTTAAGAAAGAATTGACTGACATGATATTTGAAAATTTAGCAATTAAATTTTTTATTCATTGGTCTTATAATGTCAGATTAATATTTCGTTATTTTTTGATTTATCGCATATTTCATTTACATAAACCTCTTAAAGATAGAGAATTTAATGAAGAGTATAAAATTAATTTATTTTAGAGATCTAATTGAAAAATATTAAGAATAATTGAAACCAAAGAAATAACATAGCTATTTTGACTAAAGAAACTCTTCCAAATAGATTATTGTATATATATATATATTTAAATCAATAGTCAGAATATATTTATTTAAAGTACATTAGATTTATGTAACAAATAGAAGAAGGCAAACATTTAAAATAATAAAAAATATGTCATTTAAATTTGAATAATATTACTAGAATTGAAGAACTCAAATATAAACTTAATAAATTATAGTCTAAACTTAATAATAGAGAAAATGATGATAGTTTTACTTAACATTCTTTTAAGATTATTCCTAATAATTAAATTGATGATACAGTTTTACCAATTCAAACTACAGAACAGAATTCAGAAAAGTTAGTTTTAAATAAAGGAAAATTACCTATACAAAAAATTATATTATCAGAAATTTAATTGAAATATTTGATCATTTCCTGTTCAGAATATGAAGATTCAATACTGTAATATTAAAAATGGAGATAAACAAACATTCCTGATAATTATAATACTTTAAAAGAAGAATGTAAGATTTTTTATAATATTCTAGAAATATTAACTGTAATCGAATCATTCATCGTACCTGTTGTAAGAATTCTAGAAATTTAAGATAAAAATGAAGGAAATCTTATACAGAGAGATGATTGGTGATATTCAAATGATTTAATTCAATATATTCAGCATATTAACTGTTTCTAAAAATCTGTGATCATCAATGTTCCATTTATTTTTAGGTTTGTTTTACAATGCAATTATTTATTATTTTATTTATTCTATATTTTTACGTTCAAATTTTACTAATTTCTATTCTTAATAGTTTTTACCTGTTACTTTTTGATCTACATGCTATTATAACTTATTATAAATCTATAAGCAATATTATTAAACAAATTCACATTTAGGAGGATCTACTAAGTTTGGTGAATGATTTTAATACAATTGTATAAATTAATGTATACTCTTATTTTTTTTTACTGTATTTACATTATATCTATATTATCTACAATATATTATACAAATTTTCAAATATGAATCTACAGTTTATAATAGATATTGTTTTACTCCAACTACATTAAATTTTTATTGGAATATAATGTTATTTATTTAAAAAAGGATACTAAATTTATATAAATGAATATTTTTACGTCAATATATTAGATGAACTTATTTGACTTAAAATTATTACATTGTCCTGTCATAAAGATTTTATTAGACTCTGATATAATTAATGTACCTCTATACGATGCTGAAATTGATAATATATTTTCATTTATAGGATTTATTAGACATTAAGGACTATTATAACATTTTTTAGATAATCCTAACTATCCATATTTATTATTTCCAAATCCATAACACTTTTTAAATGACTTAAATATAGTATGTGTCTAGCCACACTCTATCCAATTTATGTTTTCAATTTATGCTTAACATGGTGTATGCCTATCCTGAGTTAATTTTCATATTTACATTATAATCTCCCAAACCTAATTATCCATATTTATTAGAACCGACTGACCATAATTATCCCTTTGTAAGATATAAGACAAAATTATGTCCACAAGATATTTAATCAATTGACCTTTTAAATTCTAAAGAACAATTTCTTATAGCTTAATTTTTTGAATATATATAACTATCAATGTAATTATCTTTATAACCAAATATTTAATTGCTTTTAATATACATCCATGAATAATTAGAAGTGATATTTTACTTTGTTTATTTCTCATCAAGACTTAAACAATTCCATTTATCAGTTTAATAAATTGCTAAATTTTCACCTACTTAAAAATACTTCACATTACTCTTAACTAAGATTTCATCAATCAAACCCCATTAATATACTTTACCTACTGCATCAACCACAAATGTTTAAGTCTCAGAAACTTCTAAAAATTATATTGGTTTATTTTTATGAAAACATTTTGACCAATATAAACTATAATTTTATAGCCAACCTTAACAAATGTCTGAAAGATCAACCAAAAATTCTAAATTCAAAATTATTTAAAATATTTTAATCTTTTGATCATCAAATTATTAATTTAATAATTTTTCATAATCTAATAAATTTTTATTATTATTCTTTTGAAATTCATTAAATTTAATAGTCTCCTTTTTATCAAAATTTAAAAATTCTTTATGTTTCAATAAAGATTTAACAATAATTGGTTTAAATTATCTTTAAATGAAGATTATTTAATTTTTTATTTTTTGATAATATTTTTTAATTTTTTACATTCTCCATTAATTTTAAATTAATATAATCTTATTTAATTATTAATGATAATATTTTTGACACAAATATCTTCTAATGTGTTTCTAAATAATAATAGTTTTTTTTAACCTAATAAATTCAATCATTCTTTATTTAACTTTACTTATTATTTCATTATTTTATTATCTTATCTTATTACCTCTAAAAATCTTTTATAATTTAATTGCCATCAAATTTTCAACTTTCACCCATACTTAATCAATAACAGTTCTCAAAATCGACCTAGCAAACATTTATTTCTTAAATGTCTACTTTTATAAATATTTTCGTATTTTTTATTATATGAATTATATATCTTAAATCATACGATTCCATTTCAAAATAATAGCAGATTTTGTAATTATTAATTATAATTATGTAATTGAATTTAAAATCTTTATTTTTCTAATTTTGGATTTTATTTTTTTTCTTAAAATAAATGAACGATAGTTTTTTTTCAATAAATTCTTGAAAATTATAAATTTTTTAATGCAATTATTATTGATAGTCTCAATTTTTAATTATTACTCAAATGTAAGAAAGAGCATATTATTAGCACAAATAAGATGATCAATTTTATAAATCTTATTTTAACAATAAGTTAGCTTTTCTTATAATGTAAATTAAGGAGGAACAAAATAAATTGATTTAATTGTATTTACAAAATCTTATACTTCATATCTATAAGGGTATATTTAATAATAATAGTTTAGATAATTGGGAATATTGTACTATTCTAGTTATTTAAGAATATCTTAATAATTTGAATTTTACATTTGGTAAACCATGATTTAATTACACTTTTCTAATTCATCATAAATTTTAATCATATAATTTTAATATTATTCTATATTGGTTTTATACTACATATTAAATGTTTGAGCATTTGAAGAAATTACTTAATCTTTTGAAGTTTAAATGAATTCTGCAATTTTTGATAAGGATTCAAATTTATTTTATATTTTAAATTCAGCAACACTATAATTAATTTAGCCTTATTAATGATTAATTGTAAATAATTGTGGATTCTATACTTAAATTTTCATTTATTTAACATATGTTCTTTAAAGAGACTTAATCTTTTCTATAAGTTTGCCTTCATCTGTATTATTTAGAGTATGTTCCTCAATCAATCCAAATAAACCAACTGTCTTTTTATCAAATAACTCTATGATTTATAAATTTGTAATAAGAGTAATTTATGAAAATTGAATTTAGAGTTCTTTTAAATCTCTTTCCCTTTCGATTTTGATTCTATTATAAAATTAATAATTAAGTTTTTCAATAGTATAATTTTCAATTAAAGCCTCTAAATTATTTTAAATAATATTAAAAGAAGAATAAAATTGTAAACTAATAAAGGTCTAAATTTCATTATTATCTTATTAATTTATATTAGTATTAAAAATGATCTATCTAGCTAGATAATATAAGAATGTAGAAATTTAATCTTTGATAATTTCCATTTCTTATTGATTCATTTATTATTCAATATATTTGTTTCCCATTTTTCTTTTTTTGATGGTCAATTCTGTGAATAATGATTATGTATTTAATTAAAGATTAGATTCAATTTTATTAATTAATTCTGATTACTATTAAAGTTGTTCAAATTTAATTATTTGAAGTAATAATATAGAAGAGAATAATTTGGATATAATTTGAAAGATTGATATCTAATTAATTTAATTTAATAGATCCTTAAAAATATAATGATTATAATCTTCAATTTATTATAAAGGATATTGATATAAAGTTTGTGTATTTGTATCAATTATATAGCTATTATTTTCATTTGTAAGTTAATTATAAAATAAATTCAAAATAGGAAATTTAAAATTTTTAGCAAAAATTCGATTTGAAATATTAAAATATTTATACTTAAAACAGTTGTTATTAAAAATAGTAATAAAATTGTTATCATTTGAATTAAATTTGAAAAGTTCATTGAAAATAATTAAACTCTATAATAATTTAGTTTATTTATGATCGATTTATTCTATTAAATGATTAAATGACATAATATTTGAATTTGAAATTTAAAAGCAATAACTTTCATTACAATTAAATTAAAATTTAATTGCTGAATTGTTTATCATTAAGAATAAGTGATTGTTTATATTTATGGATTTGTTGTTTAATAATTAGTATATAATCTAATGTATGTTTGCATTTGGTATTGTATTATCAATAATTAAATTGGTCAAAACTATTTAACCATCATCTAATTAAACCTTGTCTTTATCTATAAGGATGCCACATTAATAGTTGTCTTTTATTTGAACAAGCACTTTTTAATTAATCATTAATTTTAATATCTTAAGCGATTAAATAAATTAATTTATGAGTGCTTTTTCCGAGGAACATAATAGGTAAAGGATATTAAATAAATTAATTTGAAGAGACAATTCAAATGAGCCACCAAGGAAATAGGAGAACAATAAGAAAGTTCATGAGTATCCAGAGGATTGGCCTATGAATCCATCACCACGATTTACTCCTATGCAATATCCATAATTATATCCTCATATTCCTCCTCCCTTCGATCTTGAAAATAAAGGTAATAAGGGAATTTAATCAGGTTTTAATGACTATGATCCCTAGAAATATCTTAATAGTGACAAAAAGGGTCAAAATAATTATGCATTTAGAAAACATTCATTAGGAGAAGTTCCATAAATTGATCATATGGATGATGATCCACATCGTAATCCCTATCCTTTTGGTTACTATCCAATGAAATACCCACCATAACCTATGATGATGAAATATCCACCTAATCAATAGTTTATGGTTCAACCATGGTATCAACCTAGACCTCCTTAATAAATGATGCCACCTTATTGTTATTATCCTCCTTTGTATGATGGTCTTCAATGTTAGAATACTGTTTCAAAAGAACTTCAATCTAAAGTCTGTCAATTAGTATCATATCAAAAGGTTTCTGATTTTTAGTGCAATTGTAAAAAAAGTAAATGCCTCAAACTTTATTGTGAATGTTTTGCCAATAATGGGGTATGATATAACTTCCTAAATTTTAACAACAAGGTATGTTCATAGAGTTGTAATTGCCAAGATTGTAAAAATAGAATAGATAATCCTTAAGAAAGATAAAAAGCAATAGAGGAAGCCTTGTTAAGAAATGCTGATGCTTTTGCATAAAGTTTTTCAACAAAAGGAGGTGTTCAATTTGTTCAATAAGGTATAATAATATATAATGAAATATAAGATAAACCAATAAAAGAACCATCTAAAGATAATTCAAGTGCTGTACGTAAAGGATGTAATTGTAAAAAATCTGGATGTAAAAAAAAGTATTGTGAATGTTACAGTCAGAATATTAGATGTAATGATCTTTGTAAATGTGAACATTGTTTAAATAAGACTGATGCTGAAATATAGGCTCAATAAGATTTAAGTTAAGATGGGATATATAATAAAAGTAATCAAAAATAAAAAAAAGTAAAATTGGATAAAAATGATGATAAAAGTGATTCTCCTTTTGTATAATTGGAAATAAATGTAAAAAAGAATAATAAACATAAAATAAAGAATTAAGAGAATAATTGAATCTATATATATATATATAATTCATTAATAATTATTATAAATATCATTAAGAGTTCTTAGTCAATATTTCATATATTTTTCAGCATCATATACTAAAATTCCAGTTAATCTTGAATTCATCAAAGTATTTAGATATGCCTTAATAATAGAACCTTACTATTTACCATGTTATCTATAATAATTAAATCATCATCCTAGTATGTTACTTAAAATAATATTTTGTATTATTTCTTTTCACAATAAACTTTGATATCAATTAATTCAAATTGACTAGAATATTTATTGATGTCACTTAATGAATAAATTCTTATATTTTAATAGTACATTTGATTTGGATTATAGTAAATAAATCCTATATTAGAAATATTGTATTGTTTAAAATTCAAACCAAATAATCTAATATTAATTCTATTTATACTTCCATCCATATTATAATGAATATTAACTGTCTGCTCTTGTTTCTTCTTTAAATTCTCTATTATTCCAAGCATCTATATCACTTAATTCACATCCAACATATTTTATCAATGGTTATGTTTTACAAGTAATAAATCCAAATTTTCCATTTAAAATTGTATTGAAATTAGAAATTATAACACTTCTATTTGATTACATATTATTAATTATTAAGGATAAAACCATATTTTAATTTTGTTGAGAAATTGATAAAAATTAGATCTATATAAAAATATTAAATTATTTTTTTACATCATTTCCTAAAGTTTATTTTATTTCATTAAGAAATTTAATAAGATCTTAATTAGAATTAGTTAATTTCTTATATTATATAATCTATTATGTGAATTCAAGACAAAAAATCTAAATATGTTAAGTGGCCAAAATTATTGGGAATAAACTTATATCAACAAATACTAATGTAATTCATTTAATTATTACATTTATTATAATGCAATTATGTTGAATTTAGAGTATAATCATTCTAAAGAATTAATTCTAATTTGCTACATTTAATTGCTTCTCTAATTATATGAAAGATTCCATATTCATTTATATATTTTTCAGAAATTAATAAATTTTACAGAAAACTATCTTATGATCTCGTTAAAATATCTTTGAATTCATCTTAATGTTCAATAGTAAAATGATAATCATTAGTTACTCTATATAATAAATCTAAATATTCCTTATTTTCATTCAAATGCAATAGAACCATTGTGTGTTCATTTATACTTTTCAAGCGTTTATATTTAGGATTTGTATAGATTGTGTAACATATATGACTGTCATCCTCTTCAAATAGATCTTATGAGATTTCTTTCCTTTATACAATTGTTCCACCTTTAACACTCATTGAGGGATCTCTCATATCAATAGTAAGTCTCTCAAGTTTAACAGATTGATTTTCTTCATAATAAGATCGAAATACTTAGTTCATTTTCAATATATTTAGATATTATAGACATATCTCTACTTGAATAACGTTTCTTATTCAAATCAATTGAATTTTAAGCAACATCAATTTTAGTATATTTTTGATCTTTGTTTTCTTCTTCTGGTTCTAAAGAGTTTATTTATTTCTAATCTAGAAGATTTTAGAAATCATGTTAATTTTACACCACTTAAGTAGCCTATTAAGGATGTTATTTAGAACAAATGATTCCCATTAAATAATTAAAATTTATGGAAATATTTCATCTCTCCCAATTATGCAATAACATATTTAGCAGATAAACTTAAAATTATATAACTATTTTATGATTTCTATAGTTAGTAATTACTTTATAGAATCAAAAATTTTAAACTAAAAATGTACAGATAACTTATTTATAGCTTAGATTTTCATGATATTAACAATTCCTCTTTGAAATTATCACTTCTTAATTCATAAAACAATCTTAATTGATTCCCTAATTAAAAATTCCATTTCAATCTTAATTTATCTATAATATATTATTTGATTTTGAAAGAACATTAGCCCTATTTAGTGATAGATTAAAAGATAATATAAAATTTATTAACATCAAAACATAATCAATATATTACATAAGTGAGTTTACTTTTCAAATATTATAATCACTTTTTGACATTCCAAATGAATGATAAGTAGGATCCATTTTAATTAATTTATTTCATGAAGCATTTTATCGTTTTTCTTATTATGTTCATCATGATAAATTGTAAAGGATAATCTTTTGAGTAGACAATAAGATAACGGTATTAGCAGAAGCAGCTTACCAATTAAAAGATATTTACATAAAATTAGTATAAAACCCGACTATTATAATAAGATCAAGATGATTTAGTTGAACATTAACAAAAATTATAAAATAGTGATATGCTTGAAAATAACGAAGATTAGAGAAATAAAGTGAAGAAAATTGTTAAGAAGAGAAAGGTTATTCTTAAACCTATACCAGCTCCATTAAATGAGAAAGAAATTTATAGAAAAAAAAGAAAAGTCCATAAAACAATTTAAAAGTGCAAAAAAATCATAAAGGATTGAGAATTTAATATCAATAATACAAATTTCAAAAAATTTAATCTGTATTCTTAGAAATCATACTAACTATATTTCTTTCATATTTCCATTTTTATAGTTTTTGAGAATGAATTCAGACAAATGATGTTATAACATCTCTTTTTACTCATATTTAGAGAGAATTACTATAATTCTAAGAATAGTAATTATTTTAATACAAAAATCATAAAATTGATAATAAAATATTTCAATTTAATTTATCAAATTTTTATCATATTTAGATTATTTATTTTTTTATCTAAAAATAGATAATTAGATTTATTATTGTCTCAAAAAAAAATAATAATAAATAAGTATAGATATAATCATAATGATCTTCAGTTACTGTTTTAAAATTATTAATTAACCATCTAAACAATATAATTTCTTATAATAAATATATTATATAATTTAGATATGTTAAATAATACTAATAATAAAGAATTTGTTAATAAAAATAGTTTAACTTCTTTGAAATGAATTATAATTCTACTGAAAAAATAAAATATCAAATTATTAAACAATAGAATTATTATAGCACAAATAATAATGAAATTAAATCATTTCAAGAGAAAAAAGGTTTATTTGATTCTGAAAATTTAGTTATATTGTCAAAGTGAAGATGTTAATATTATTTTATTTTAACGAATTCAAATATGATAAACTCATCACCTCATATGAAATTGGATAAGCCTTATACATATAGTCCATTATATAAAAACCAATATACATAAGGTATAGACAATAATACTTCCATTAAAAATTCCTTTATTACTAAAAGTATCAAAGAGAATAGATAAAATATGGATTCACAATAATTTAATGAAGAATTAGAATATTACAAGAATAAAAGTGCAGACCTTGAAATTTATGCTTAATAATTGAAAAATGAATTAGATGCAATAATGATAAGAATGAGTCAATCAGGTGATGTAAATGATAAGATTGATTTCAAATTTCAATAGAATCAATTACTTAATTAAGATTTAGATAAACTATAAAAAAGTTATGCATAAAAGAAGATGGAATGTGATTTGTGGAGATCTAAATATGAGCAATAAATTAATAGCTCAGTATAATGTATTATATATTAATAATAATATCATAGTGAAAGCATAGTATGAGTTAGAGTTGAAGAAATTGAGCAATCAGTTAAAATTATTAGAGGAAAGAAATAATGTTCTAGAAAAAGAGAGATAACAAGAGGTTGAAGTTACAAAAACCTCATTTTCAAGTACTATTTATAATAAAGATTTA